GCGGGCAGCCGGTGCAGTCCCATTATCAGCCGGTTGACCCCATCACGGTGCCCAATGTCGCGTTTAACGTGCCCGGCGACAGCGATCGGCAACGTCGCCAGGGTGCCAGCTCCTCCAGCCCCTACAACGAGACAAGGGTGTGAGCCGAGCTCGGGACAGCGATTCCACCGGACCGTTCGTTCCTTTCAGCTTGACCCGTGATCGAGATTATCGGTTCCAAGGTCGTTCCACCCTATTGCTCCATCCTCGTTTTTTGGTGAGTTCTTTCACCACTCGTGCCGAGTCTTTTTCTCTCGCGGAGATCGCTCGGAAGAGTTTGAATCGGAGAGGTTAACGTTATTCAGTTACGTTGCGAGATTTGTTCAGATTACGGGTCGAAGTTGCGTTTAGATATCGGCTTTGGATTCTATGGATCTGTATGGATTAGATGGATCTATTGGAGGTTCCCTCCATTCCAATCGAAGTTGCGAGCTATGGTAAAGGTAAATCATATCATAGAAGAGGCATAAGAATATCAGGGACCTTTGTTTGCCTTGTGTTCTCGATGCCGAGGCGACGAGAGAACGTTGTATCAGCAGAAGACTGAACGTTCCATATCTTAGGAGGACTTTAAGGGCAGCTTGAACCCAAGCTGATCGGTCGTCTACGCTAATCGTCGCTAATTTCGATCTTGGGTCTAATCTGAATTTCGAGGAATCTTTTCGAATTCTCGGCGAATTATTCCCGTTACTGTTCGAGCTTTCTCGATCGTTAGATTATTGGCTTCGATTCTTCGTCGATGAAAGTGGCTCGATCTCGTCAAGACACTGATCTGTCCGGTTCTTATCGATCACCTCGATCTTCGTTTCACCGTTTGATCGGATAAGCCGCCGTGACCAGAGATTGATGCGTTCGAATCCGGTGCTAGAACCAAACGTTTGTGTTCCGATCCAGGACAATGCGTGTCCTAGAATTCGCTCGAGACTGGATCTCGACGATCCCAGCGATCGTTTACGGTACGATTAGGTTAATGGGTCGCTTGGAGATTAATTCCCGGGGTTCGCATTAAAATCACCTCTCGATTCCAACCTACTCTAACCTGAATACTTACTTGGTAGACTAAGAAGTCACAAGTGCAGTAGTGTCGCGTTAACTGGTCAATCGCTAATTCTTGCAACTCCTACAACTGATTTCACGAAGCAGATGCCCGACGTCACTCGTGGTTTAAAGGTAAAGAATCATCAAGCAACAAAGATATTTAGGAATGTAAATCTGAAACTATACCTTCCTCGGTAAATGGCTAGATAGGGTCTCGATCAGTGGCCAGTTAGCGAGTCGCTACCTCTAGTCCAGAAACGACGTAACAAATTGTCCGAGCAAACATAGACCACGACAACGAAATATCGCGGTTGTTCGTGACATCGAATCCCGGTTGTTAAGAACGACTCCCACCGGGGGTCGGCTCTCCCACAAGCACTGCCAGCGAGGGTTCGAATCTCGAACCGTGTGCTCTCTCTTTCCTTGGTGATATTCTCGCTATTTTATCCCCGTGTGCGCGCACTACGGATCGTTCGGCGCGTTTGATAAGAGCTAGATAAACCTGCTGTTTCGAACACCGGCAGGTATCGAAGATATACCTCCATCCGTCGCCTAGATTTTTCTTTCTCAAGCGGAAAGGCGGAGATCTGTACTCTCGAGCTAAAAGAATCCATTGAAGTATCATCGGGAACAGAAGAAACGACACGCGAAGAAACACACGCGAACTGGAGTATAAGCAGAACGCAAACGGATACGTTTCCTCGAATGATCGAGAGGAGATCGGTTTATCGTTTCTCGTTTTCGAGCGTTGCTACCAGCCTCGGTGAGAATCAGAAAATCTAGAGACGATGGATGCTGCAGCCTGCTGCTATCGATTGGCGCACCTTGCCGCGTCTTACTCGCTCAAGGAGTAACGAACAAAAGAAAGTACGCGGAACGCACGTGCTGCGTCGCTCCGCGCTAGTCGTGTGGCCGGAAACGTTCGTTCTTCAGCTTGGAACTTCTCCAAAATCCATTTGACCGAACGAAGAACGCGTTTCGAAGGCTTTCTCGTCTTACCGTTCGAAGATCCATATTTATCGCGGATCTCGCGCGGATTTCTTGAATCGACATGGTCTTCGTCGTATCTCGCTTGCAAGTCGAGATCGAAACGCACAGCGGATCCGTACGATCGCGGAATTTCGGGGCTTTTCTTTGTGATACATTTCTTCTGTGATGCTTCTATTTTTGGAGAAACGAGCGGCTATTACTGCGTTCTTCTCCGAGCTCGTTTTCGTCTCATGTTCCAGTGATTTGTAGATGTCGGATCATATCAATTTTCGAAAGGTTCGGACAAGTTTCGTGACCCGAATCGTCGAGAGGTCGGTGTACCAGTCGAAACGAAACGAGTCGCGTCGAAACGATCTCGTTCTCTTGAAACACCAATCGAGGCGAAACCAAGATTCTATCCATAGATTTAGCGATCTACGTAGATTATTATCGAATCGTTATCGGCCTCCCTTTGACCAGCGTTTGGTCGAGGATCTACGGTCTAATTGAAATTATCTTCTAGCCTTAATCTACTGTCTTCTGATGGCGAATTCTAAATCGATGTCGTAGCGAATTAATTCTGGTTAGAACCAGAGAGAAGAACCGCTGGACTCGACGTGCTCCCGAGACGTATCGCTGGGAGATAATTATGAACAACGTCGGACACGACGAGTCCGGCGTGTTCTTCCAATCGAAATCAACTAGATCTCTTCGAGAACCCGTAGATCGACCTTAGGATTACTTCTCTTTCAGTCGAGCGGCCTTTTTTTCCAGTCACCCTTCTACCTCTTTCTCGCTCTCGCAGAGTAGTAGATCTTCGTTAGTAGTTCCACCCTGTGAGAACGACTCTGCGAGTTTACCAGCGACACTTTCGAGAGTGTCGCGGCCGAGACGAATCGTGGCTCGAGATCGTGAGAAATCTTTTATATTCGCTGCTCGATTGTTTATTGGAAAATGTCTCGCCAGTTTTACTATTACGTTGAAAATTTCCATCTAAATGGAGTACTTCCACGCGAAGAATAAGGGTTAAGCGTATCTCGATATCGGGAATTGGAAACGTATCGACTGCAAGAAGACGTAGACGCTACGCGCACTCGTAAATCAGCCCGCACATAGTGAAAGTCGACGTTAACGAGGGAAAATGAGAAGTGATAAATGATCCTGTCGGCTGGCAGATCGAGGATGAGACCCCATCGAAACCCCATTAAGTGTCGTTCCACCTTTTATATGTACAGCTTCACGCTCCTCCATGAACGCCATTTTTCAACGGTCCACCATCCTCTATTTTCTTCTGTCGCGTATTAATCGTCCGCTAATTCTTCAGACATCCCCCGTTGACCTTCCAAACGTCGCGCCTTTAACGGTGAAATTTATTTAAAGCCCTTCCACGGACCACGGCCACTTTGAAATTGAAACTCTCGCGCCAAATCTCCCCGCGTCTAATTTTAATCAGCTCATTGATTCTCAGCGGACCAGAGAAGCTCATCGGGGTTTTATTAAACGTCCTCTGCCCCTTCTCTGTCCTTCCCACGAGCTTCCATTTTTCAGCGGTCGACCGAGTTCCCATCGACCTATTACGCGATAATCGTTCATTAACTCGTAAATTAGCCTCTGATCTTCCGTCGCTGGCTTCGACCAGCCCCAGAAACCGCTCTGAAATTACTTGGAAATAGAATTTCGATTCTATTTGATCGATTATACCCTCGTGTATTTTTATTTACGAGTTCTGTCGACGTCTGACAGTTTCCAGTGGCTTCGCGTCGTTGGCTTTCTTTTAGTATCTACCTTTTATTACGTGCTCCAATACGACGACTGTATCGAACGGTTTACTCCACGTCGACTTTAACAACCGCAATAACGGACGATGATCGAGCATAATAGACGCGTCTGCGACGTGTCAGACCGCTCACGAATGATCTTTATGAGGCGAACGTAACGCTCGCTGCGTGAACCGCGCGGTGTCAGTTGGCGAACGTGTTCCCCGACAGTTTTAAATCAATGATAAGATTCATATGCACGAAGGAACACGGGTCGTCGCGACGTGCGCCGTCACCGGTACAACAAATGTGTTCCTGCCATATTATGTACGCGGGTCTCTTCGTTCGCCCAGTCTGTTTGAAATTGCCGAAATGTACGGAACAAGCGGCGATATATTTCCCTGGAAGTCCGCTTACGTGCCTTGGGAGAGGATTTTTCGTGCCATTCAGGATCGGATTTCTTTTCCGTGTACGTCTAAATAGATTGATTCGGACGGTTACATCGAGACAGAGGTCTTCTTCGCGTAGCGGTTCTCCGTTTCTCGCTAATGATTTTGACACAGCGTATCGGGAAAATAAATTTCCGTGATTACGATCTTTCAGAAAGGAATTTTAGTCGAGTTCCATCCTCTTCCGAAGGATCAGCATTGCCGTTGATTTGAATCGATTGAATTCCATCAAAGATTGAAACTAGTAGAATCACCGAATGGAAGTATCCTATGCGTGCGTTCATTACAGGAGTCTCGATTCGCGTTACGATCTCGAGCTACGTATCTCGTCGACGATGCCGAAAATCCCATTTTTCGATCAAGTACAAGTCGACAGTGATCCAGGAGTTGAATCGTCGTCTTCCACCGACGAAACATCTATCGTCCCCGCCTAGAGTCGAGCCTCGCCGCTCGTCAGCCCTATCCTACGTCTTCCATTTTTAGATTAAAAAGAACTCGACTGGAAGCCGCGCATCGAATCCTGCCCGAGCTCGTGCCCGCCTTATTCTCGTCCGATCGCACAAATTAATCACGCCCCGCGACTCTGACCCTTCTAACTACGCCAACTCTGTCCGGATTCCATGAAATTCCACGAGAAGACGCTGAAGCATTCCGCGGTGGAAACCAGCGGAAGAGATTCGCGGCGAAACGAAGCCGTGCGCCTCATCGAGCAGCAAGACAAATTTCGCGGAACATCTCTCGTTGATCGCACGTGCTTCGTTCTCGGTTTCCAATCCGCTATTCTTTTTTTTCCCTTTATCCAGTTCCTCGTGGGATTGGATAAAGTTATCGATCAAGCCGTACACGTGGAAATCGAATCGATATCGCGCAAACGGAGACGAACGAAGCTCGTTCTCCGATGGCTTTCGTTTCCTTGATCTTGTCCAAGTTCCGTCGAGTATCGGGGAACTCGATCACGGCTGTTCGTAGTCGAAGCGCCACTGCCACGCTCGAGGATCGATCGATCGACGATTCGTCGAGCGTGTCACCTTTCGACTTGTACGAGTTTCGCGCGTGATATTCGTTCGATGGTCGACACACGAGCACCCGGTGTGCCGCGTCCGCTTCTCAATTTCGTCGAAGCCAGACATTCGCGTCCTTGGGATCTAAAGATGGATCCTTTGGGTGACAGCAGGTTCACGAATACCACAGGTGCGAGCTTACGGCCCTAAAAGTAGCTTTAAGGACCCACCTTCTTTTCGTAGATAGGTTCAACGAGACAGAAATCGCAAGGAACATTCGAGATTATACTAGCAATTACACGCAGTGTACATAGGAAGTGCGAATCGATTATTCGATCGCTCGAGGATCGACTTTTGCTTTCGTCGTCGGTTGAGAACCATCGCAACCTTATATTTCGGTATTCCGGTCCGCTTGCGTTACGATCGCTATTTTCCAGAGACCGTTAGCAAGTATCTCGTTTCGTTTGCATCGGTGCACGCAACTGTCTTCAATTTCCCTTCGATTTTTTCTTTGCCTTCTTGAACAGTCAATTTGCCTTTAGAAAGTTACACGAACCGAAGCTAATATCCTGAAACGAAGAACGATTCTCTTTAGGGGATTAAGAATCGGAAGAATAATCTATCCTACTTAGGGAAACAAAAGAAGGATCTCGCGTCGCTTTATCTTAATCTAAAAACTTTCAACCGTAATCTATCGGGATAGGTTTGATGATCGCGTCATTGGCCCGCGAAATTGTCACCGAAAGCAGCTCAAACGCTCGTTTTAATCGTGATTCACGCCCGGGGTCGTCTAAATATTCCTAGACGAGATTTATTACGGCGAGCGAAGCAGTGACGTTCCGATTAATCGATTCGTATTAGCGATAAATCCGTGTGGCGCGATCGCGCTCCGTGAATTCTGCGCGAGATTTACCATCCCCCAAAACGATTTTATTTGACCTGGTGACGCAAGCCGACCTGCAATACCGATCTCGATATCTCTAAAGTCCCGCAAATCGCGCGACCAATCCTCGGTTCGCGGCCATTCCACTACGATTAAGGGTTGTCGTGCATTTTCCTAACTAACGATCATTTGCGGAATAATTCTTAATTGTTTGATATCGTTCCCTTCTGGTGCTATCGTCGAAGATTATTCAGCGAATCGTAGAGGAAATGTTAGCTCCAGATTGACTGGCATACAAGGCGCGTTTAAATTAGGAAGATAATATCTTCAAATCGATTGAGAAACGAAATTTCGAAATTTTGATCATGCTTTTCACTGTCGCACTTCGCGAAGATCGAATCGTTTCTTGTACGGTATCGTCGAGTAGGTTACTGGCCCGGCAGATTGAGTTACCAAGTAAGCTTTGAGCAACGTTGACAGTATAGAAACCGTCCTTGTCGCAATCAAAAAAAAAAAAAAAAAAAAAAAAAAAAAAAAAAAAAAAAATATTTGTAAGTTGGACTCGTTATCGCTTCCTTAGCGTTCATTTCCACCCTCGTCTGGTGAATTGCTCAAATTATACGTGTACAATTTTACGGTGCATAAGGGATCTCGTTTGTCCACTAACATAATAACTAGTAACTATCGACTAGAATTATTCGGTTAATAGAAACTTTGCTCCCATACACGAGACGGCTCGATATTCAAGAAGTATAGCAGGCGAACTTTCGCGAGCAACTTGTCCAAGGACTGTTGCACACATATTTGATATTTAACGTGTAAAAAGAGATTTGTTGTTTGATTCGAAAGTAACGTCTTTCCGTTTTAAATACCACGTATGGTGTTGGATTTTCTTTGACAGAGAACGGTAAGGTTAGTCAGCCCTTAATCGAGCCGAGGATCAAGCGTTTTAGATAAGATAGCACGTTTTGCCACACATTCCAGCAATCTGTCAGCGTTCCGATTCTGCGACGCTCCTCTCTTCCGATAGGTCGCGCTGTTTAGCGCGGCAGAAAGAAATCGAAGATCCTTTAACGAGGCGATACATCTGAAGGAAATAAAGAAACTGAGATTTTTTAATCGATCCGCGTCCTTTCGACCCCCGACTTTGCAGAGAAGCCGACGAGACCGTCCGATGTTTCTCTCCACCTTCTCCTTTGATCACATCTTCGTTCGCTTCTCGCTAAAACAACTTTCACCATCGAAATCGAGAAAGTAACGTTTGAGAAACTGCGATTGGCGGGAGCGATCTCCGTCGTACGAAATCCCCCAAAAAGACAAGGCAGGACAGATGAAAGGCATACGAAAAACAAACATCTATTTCCACTTCTGATCATATCTTAAATTTTCAGCGACGTGTATCACGTCACCACGCGCAGTCCGTTCGTCGTTTACGAAACTTTAACGAGCTTCCGCCAAACCACTGAGAACGACACGCGCGCTCGCCTGCACGGATCACATTCCCCGCCCCCTTCGTTTCATCCACGAGATCATCACGAGTCTGTGTCGTGCTCTGCACGAACTCATCACGAACCAGTTTCGAATTCTCCTTCGTCGAGATCGAACAAAAGATATCATGCCGCGTTCCCCGCGTTCTTTCTTTTGATGTGGATTCCGCGTGCAGGTGGGCCGCAGACGGATCACATTCGAGACTCAGCATACCGCGACGATGCAGACATTCGACGAATCTCGCGGCTCCTGCACGGAACAGAAGTTCTGAACGCGTTCTCGAGCGGAAGATGGTCGAGAGTCGCGTCCCTACTTCCGCCGGCAACGAGACCGCGAGAAACGGGTTAAACGAGCGCTGTTGGATATTCATTACGAGTGTACAGTCATCCTTGCACGGTTATCGACTAGAAAATTGTACGGCAACGTGTGTCGCCTTGACCTTAGGGACATCCAGGTATACACGTACATGTCTCTTTCTGTGTACATACATATGTACGTTTATTATGTATCTACGTATATACGTATATATATGTGTGTATATATATATATGTGCGCGCGTGCGTGTGTGTGCGTGTGCTCGTTCATGTATACACATGTCGTGTATTCGTTGGCGCCAAAGTGCAAGGGGTCGAGGATTCGAAGTCGATTTTCAGCTTTTTTTACCGGCCAGAAGATACCCTGCTGAGTTTTACGCCTCGATCATTTGCCACGTACGTTGTCCGACAACCATTCGATCTAACCCAGATACCAGAGGAACGCTCGTAAAACGTAATAGCTCTCTCCTCTTGCTGGATGATCATGTTCGTTCTCGACTGGTGACGTTGGAACGAAGTTATTAACAAAGATTCCTGGGTAATGATTTTATATAGAAATCGTGAAACTACACGAAACGGTGAAATCACGCTAGTAACTTGGTTTCGAAATCAGACAAATATCGAATGGTCGTTGGAGAATGTAGAGATCTGCGAGATTTGGTGTTAGCTAGATTCGGTGTTACACAATCACCAGAAAATCAGATTTCGTGTTACATTTCTTCACAGACTAGAGACGCACACTCTGTCACTGTATAGCGGTGAACGTTTCTTAAGCTTGTTCAGAACCGTAGGTATCTCGTTAGTTACATTTATCAACATCCAAGGGTCTGGACGAGTAAGTTTTAGAAAACGTTTGAAAAGATCATCGATCTTACATGGTTAAACTCTGGACGCCTCTTTCCTCTTCTTTCTGCTCGTTCAACTTCGCGCGAAGCAGTCGAGTCCCGGTGAATTTTCGTCGAGCGAGAACTCCGAGAGTTTCCGGTTTAACGACTTCTGGCGAAAATCTTGGAGGACATTTCCCGAGGGACCGGCATCGTTCAGAGCGTCGCGAGATTTGCTGGTAACTTGCGTCAACTCGAGAACTCGACGCGATCTACTCGCAGCCGAGTCAAATTTTTCTTTCACCTCGCACGTGTGAATTTTTCCCCGCCTTGCGTATTGTCGAGTTCGCCTTTTTTTCTTCTGGCGCACGGAACGGTTGCACTTGCGCGCGCGTCGTCGCGTGTTATAGTGCGTCGCGTGGCTGCTTCACAAGGAGCGACGAGTGGCAAAAACAATTAGCGATTCTTTGGCACGTTTCTTGCGTGTTTCGCCATCAGGCGAGAAAATGGACGGATTCTTCAGACTTGGGAAAGTTTCCTTCGTTCATTTCAACTTGTTCCACGCGATGAAGAAATTAGCTTCAATGCTTTTTCCTCCCATTGAGATTTAAGTAGAAAATCGTGAACATCTTTTAAGACGTTTTACGTACTTTTTGTGGTTTAGGTATCGAATGGAGATGGCACAATGGTTTATCCGCGTGGCCTGGTCTTCCAATCGTCTTTCTATCGGCTTTGTACTACACCGCCAACGCCTTTGTTCTCGATTATTGACCTACGCGTTGCCTAATCTCCGTCTTTTGTCTAAACGTCAGCATCACGCTTCATGACATTGTTCTATGCAAATCCAACGTTCTATCGTTCTAACGGTTCACTAGTTTTCTATGCTACTACTTTATCGATATTTTTTTGACGCTATTTTCGCTAAAAAGATTTCGTATAAACACTTCTCTCATCTACCTTGTTTCATCGACTTTGTCGATAGACTGTGCGACGCCATTATTCATTAAGATTAGTCATTAAGATCTTCTTAATGTTCTTCTGAAATTCTTCCGTTTACTTATTTACCTACTCAGTTTATTTATTCACATTTCCGATTTGTTTATCTCGAATGAAAAATTCAAACAGTTCTCAAAAAGTTACCATCTTCAGTTTTACGGTCTTTGGTTTCCTGTCAAAAAATGTAATCGTGGCAGTTACACCGCCAAGAAGCAGCGTGTGCGTGAATTGCCAAGTGTTCGATAAATCTCGAGCAGTCGCTAACCAGTGGATGCCAGCAATTAGAAACGTTTAGCTTCGCATAAACGTCACCATTTCCCTCGACATCGATTTATGCGCCGCGATGAACTTTCGTCCCCTCGACGAAAGTTGCGTCGATGTAATCTGCTCCGCGATACGCCCTCTCTTTCGCGTGAAATTTCTACGGTGAATCGCAACAGCTGACGTTCCACCGAAATTTGCCTTGCTCCGTGAGCCAAATATATGGTTATGCCAGCTCGTTTCCTTCTCAGCTTTTCATTTCCAGTCGACTGTAACTACGCCAGTCGAGAATCTTTTAATCTCATTCTCGAAAGATTGAAGATCCCCCAGCCGCCAGCAGCGAATACGTACTCCAGGAAATAATAGATCTTCTTCTCTAGTTATTCTATTTCCGTGTACCGTAGCTTTCTCAGTTTCTTCCACAAATCAGACAAGAATCGATGCTAATTATTACCGACGTAGACTAATTAATACAACGTGTTGCCAAGTGCAAACACCTCTATCCATTCGTACCAGTAATAATCCGTGCCAGAGGAATCGCCCGATATAGATGACTGACGCCACGTGTTTCGATAGTTAAATCGTAGCCAGGCTCTTCCAAAATCGTTACAAAACTATTTTACATGGTGTCTTTATTCGAATCACGGAAACCTCTGCTCGCGCGTTGGGTCAGTTGGCGTCTTCGTTGAAATTGTCGTTGCGTTCGAACGCGTATCTTCGCGTCGAGCTTATTACGACAAACGCCTCTAGCGAGGAATACCAACGAACGAGCTTCGCGGAAACAACGACGAAAGCCGGGGAAACGTTGCCGAACGAAACGCTCGTGAAACTATCGACCGTGAGACCTTATGGTCGTCCAGTGGCGCGTATTATCAGTTTCTCTATCACGCGTTGCTCGATGGAAATATCATTAAAGGAAAGAGGAAAAAAGAAAAGGGAAAAGAAAGAATAATTATAGCCGAGCGCGCACGCGACGACGTTGCGCCGAATTAATTGCCCCAATAATGCGTATTATAATATAACACGAGTTGCTTTCATGAATAATGCATAGCCGAAGGAACACCGGGAGCCTGTAGTGGAGCATCCACTTCAGATCAGCCAGGCAAGAGAAAATTGAATCTTAAGTGTCCGTCTGAAAAGCTCCGTCAATTCACTTTTGCCGTCGGCCCAGTAACGAGCACCATCTTTTCGACACTCCTCGAGTATCCACCTATCGTGTCCGTCCTCTTCAAAGACATTCAAGCTCACCCTCCTCCCCTTTGTTAACATAATTAATACGGTGAAATCTTCGATTCCGATTGCTACCGATCCGTGGAATCGAGCGGCCCAAACGTCGTGTGGTGCAAACGATAATCGTTTCTTCCATTTTTCCTCCTGTTCTTTTCTTTTTCTTTTTTGCTTCTCTTCCCGAGGAGAAACAAGCAGTGGACAGGACGAAGTTTAAAGAGAAGCACGGACTTTGGAGAAGCATCGAGTACCGTTTGATTTATCGAAGGGTAGGAAAGAGGCACTTTAAAAGATTAAGATTTAGAAGATTGAAGTGGAACATCGTGGATGTTGTCGAACTTTTGAAGAAGCTCTTTTTGCGAGTGAAATCAAGCTCGTGGAAAAGTATCGGTTGCACCTACTCGGTATTCAGGCCACTCGACTTCTATTTTGGGTGTTGATGTTGGTTACTGTCCCCTCCCCCCTCCCCAAGTTTTGCTCCATTTAATCGTTATTGGAAATTGATTGGTCCGTTATATATGACACACACTATATATACCATATAGCTGGTTCGATTAAATATATTGTATATAATGTACGTGGATCATGTTACTTGTGTATATTTTATTAAGTCGTTCAAGGGTACGAAGCGAGAATTATCGCGCGGACGAGTTCGTCACGGAGGACGGCCGATCCAATTCACCAACGATTTCCTACAGACATCTCACGTGTAAAATCAACCGTATTAAAATCATTTATACATCAAGAAGAAACATACTACGAAGGATCTCTCTAGTCGCAATCTCATAATAACTAGCTGATTTAGTCGTAACGAATAAATTATTTAACCCCTTGCAAAGAGGAGATAAATGAATCACGTTTACCGGGATGTCTGTAGAGAAAGGGTAATTGGTGAAAACCACACTATCTTTATCAACTCCCCGGTCGGTTCTTCGCGTAATTAAACAAACTAGTTTAACAAGCCGCGAACAATGGCCTTGCAATGATAAATCATCGGCACTGTTCTCTTCTCGCCGGAGAAACGAGTGTCAGGCTGAAATTCGAAACCTCCTCGCGGGCACCGCGTTACATTAATCACTCTGACTGTTTCGGCCTGTTCGAGCTTTAGAGCCGCGCTTCGCGACGAGAAGAAAATTAATCAGAAATTAGTCGGCACAGCCTGTCAGTGCGCGTCGATTACGGCCACTGGGTACAATGATTAATCGAACGTTGTATATCGAGTGGATTCCGCGAAAGGTCCAGCAGCTGCCTTCGTAATTATTTTCAATCGGTTGTTGGCTCGTAATTATCAAGAGCCGCGCGTGCGCCTTCCCTCCTCCTGCGTCCTCTCTAGTTCGCATTGATGTCAGTCCCAACGTTGTTAAATTAATTATCGTTCAACAGGTAAGTCGCCCGATAGATAACGGGCTGTAAACGTCGCGACGAGACAGGCTGTCGTTTATCAATTTTTACCACCGCCATTGACATCGCGCTCTTAATTGCTCGCTACAGATGAAATTATCCCAAACTAACATACACAGCGTTTCGCTACGCATTAACGCGTCACATAAACCGATGACTGTTGAAATTGAGAATCGTTGTGACACGATTGCGATTACCTAGTATAGAAAGGAATATTTCTTGTTCGATTTGAGATCATAAGGGAGGCTAATTTCGTGATTGGCAATACGATAACATTTGGCGAAACGTTGATACTAAAGAAATTCTTCCCCTTCTATGTCTAATCTAATCATCCCTTTTCGTAATCGTTGCAAAATACCACGCGATACAATGTAAATATGTCTGTACATTTTGTAACATATACACACTGTCGGCACCTGTTGTGTGTGGTTCGTCCCGTAGAAACATTCGTCCGTTTAAGGTAAGACCCAAAAAGAAAAAGAACGTCAGTTCTGTTACTTGTCTGTCTACTTTTTTTGATCGCTCCCCGATATAAAAGCCTGCTAGTTGAAGATTAGTAATATTTTTTGGGAAATGTTGTTTCATTGATCGAACTACTATTTCTTCTCGTTCTCTTGGCACTTCTCCTCTTCCACACCTTTGCGCTACTCGCATACGTTACGTACTACGCCTCTCTGTTTCTTGGATTGTTTGAATGCGAACCTCTTCACGATTTTTCAGACACGATTTCGTGCTCGACGGATTATTCAAGCGTATCCAATTGCCCCCCCCCCCCCCACCCCTACTATTTCTTCTCGTTCTCTTGGCACTTCTCCTCTTCCACACCTTTGCGCTACTCGCATACGTTACGTACTACGCCTCTCTGTTTCTTGGATTGTTTGAATGCGAACCTCTTCACGATTTTTCAGACACGATTTCGTGCTCGACGGATTATTCAAGCGTATCCAATTGCCCCCCCCCCCCACGAACCAAACTTTTATTTTCTTTTAACGAGAGTCGCTGGCAAAGAGAAGAGGCGAAAGAAGAATCGGTTGTGAAATACGCCCCTTCTCTTTCGGTTGACGTTCATCGCCGAGTGTGGCGATCGAACAATTAGCGAGCTCTCGAAGAATGCGACGTTTCGCGAGAACTGCATGAAAACCAATGGAGAATGTTGTTTCTTGTACGCCACAATGGCTCATCTCGTCCCTCGATCGACTCGAACAACGATAATTACGTTTTTCGTTCGATGGCGAGTCAACCACTTCTAACGATTCTATTTTCTTTCAGTGAAAACTCGTTATCGAGTCTTTGTAAGATACTTTACTCTGACGATCGAGCTATTCGGTAATCGTTCGAAGACGACCGATTACCGAAAACAATTTGCACTTTCTGTTACCTTTCGTTTGTCGAACGCATTATTTTCAAAATATTCCGCGCCATGAATCGCGAATATAGAACAACCGATCTGATAACGCGATTCGACCGTGAACTCCGCAGATACCTTTTAAGTACTTGGAACAATATGTCGGCGACTTTTTCCGCGATTTGAAATTCGGATTGCCTTGAATAACTCGTTTATACCGCGACGCGGCGCTTCGTCGATTTCCCTAGCCGCGACCGGAAACGCGTCCATTAACGCGATGTCGCGGTCCGTAAATCCGGCTCGACCCAGGCAACACGAACGCGTTGGAACGTCCGTCGATCCGGGTCGGGTCCGCAGCTGGCCGCGACGTGGACTAATTAAATTTAATTAAAGTCGACGATTAAGTCCGACTCGCTGATTCCGCGTGCAACTTGCCCGACACCGTGGGATTAACGGCGACGAATTAATTTTCGCGAACAACCAGCGGGAACAGCATGATCGATGGTCGATCGTCGACCGAGGTAGGATCGTTTAGTCGGTTAGCCGGTCGTAGATGAAGCTCGTAGCAATTGTAAGAGGAAACAACGAGACAGAACTCGCGTAGGCTTCGACGACAGAGAACACGACACACTGTCATAGCTGGGGCAAGTTCTTTCTATAGAGTTAGTTGATTCACAGATGATCGTGCATCAGCAGACGATGCTCGGATAGAAGTCAACCCTTTCGCCCTTCGAGCTGGAACCTTCGAAATGGCGCGTGTTCTCCCTTTGAAAACTCGTCGGTTCTTTGGAAGTTAGATGATATTAGGATTGCAAAATATATTGTAGTAGTGCTAGCCTCGGTGATTCACTTAGTAAGAGCGTACGAGAGGATATAGAAAGTAGGATGTTGACTGAAGCCGCCGAACACGTTTTTAAAGTTGGTTCTGCCTCGTAAGGATGACAAAGCCGATTCAGAATCGGGGAAAAGTACAACACGTCCGATCTAACGACGATCGTTTAAAGTGTCACGACTAGAGATAACCGTAGAGGTCCATGTAGAAAACAGACTCTTTAGGGTAGGTGAGCTTAGCGTGCAACAATGTAGTGTGTGCTTGTGGTGTGGATTTCAGCAGGCGTACAGTCAGTACATCCCAGCGACAAGGGCCCAAGTATCGGGTGCCCAAGGGGGGCAGACCGGGGCTGCGATGGACGGGACTTACCTCGTCGAGGCCTCGTTCTGAGCGGCCTGACTTTCTTAGCCAGTTCTAGTAAAGCACGCTAAACTACAGATCCCAGTAAATTCGAGGCAAAGAGAAACGAAATAGAGCAGAATACTAGAGCAGAGTAAATAACCAAAAACAAAACAAAAAAAAGAGAGTAAAGAAAGATAGAAAAGAACAGACGAACAAACGGATCTCGAAAACGCATAATCGCAGATTATTCGAATCGGTTCAGAGGCCGAGCAGTCGAGAGCGTTTAGAGAAAGAAAGGTAACACGAGATTTGATACAGTTTGCAGACAGATTTCGAGTCGGTCGACACATAGAAATATAATATACTCGAACGAGATGATTTTCAGAGGACAAATTAAACGAGAATAGAGAAACGTTTTAACGTGATCGTTTAAGAGAAAGTAGACGAATGGACATGGAAGAAACATCAGTCGAAAACAGAAAACAAATAGAAAAATATGAAATAATCAAATAATTGACACAAGACACACACAGTGATATTATAAAATATATAGATATAAATCAATCAAATTCTATTTCCTCATTTCCGTGCCCACCCGTTCATCGACGACCGACCACACCGTGCGATCCACGTGGAACATTGGACACCTACGATGACCTCGCATCGTCCGCCCATCATCGTCATCGTCATCACGGGCGTCATCGTCTCCACTGGCCATCACCATGAAAATAATCGCCCCGTTGTCTCATCCTGCTCGCTACGAATCGGCATCTTTTTCTCTTCACATCCTCTGTGTTCATCCGCTCGTTCTCCACGATGGATAAAACGAATTTTTAACGAATACAAATATATCACGTGCGTGAACGAAAAATCACCGATATAATATAACGAACGGAAAAATAAAATATATACATATGTGTGTATATATATATATACATATACATACGTACATACA